CCTTTAGATATAACGGGTGTCGGATAGATAAGGAAACATAGATATTTATTCATTTCTATCTCATTGCTGAAGACATATCCGAGATGTCCTATTAAGATAAAAACCATTTTCTATATATAGGAATAAGAACGAAAATATTCATTCTCGAGGAAAAAGAAATATTTCTCTTTCGATCAATGACAACACAACAATTCATTTTCTTATTTCGCTTCCTTTGAATATCACCGTTGCATTTATTTATGTTATCTTTATTTTTCTTTCTTTCTTTCTTTTCTTTTTTTTTTTTAATTCATCTTTTTATTTTTATTTATGTTATTTCTTTTTATTTCTTTTTATTTATTATTTTTTCCTAAAGTATTAGAAACACCTTTTTAGTGATAGATTAACTCCCATTTACAAGAGAGGCATTAAACTTTTTCTCTTTTAACTCTTGCTCTACTAAATGTATATGTGTGCATGCGTACGTATGTATGTATGCGTTTGTACACGTGTCCTATATCTGCCTCTCCATTTTATAATGCCTTTTTCATTCGCTCAAATATTTAATGGGTTTGCCCGATAGTTCGAAAATTTACCTGACCGATGAATTTTCTCCACGATTTATTGGCTTGCGTATTATCAATAATCGAACTACTTAAATATCTCAAGTTGAACTTTTCGTTCATTTCGCCGTTTAGTCCCTGTATTTTTTCGACAATCTTTTTATGTTTGCTTCGAATTCTTTTATTGTGCATAATCACGTATTAGTAGTTGTTAATTAAAAAACTTGTCAACTCATTAGTCTTTCATTTACAAAGTTAATAAATTTACCTAGTTAGAAGGGCGATTTGTTTTTTTTTTTAATTACGAAGGACTGCATAATAATATATCATTAAATCATAAAATCGTGTTGAATTATTTCTAGTAACTATAAGTTAAGAAATTGAAATTTAATTTTAGGTTTTATATATATATATATATATATATATATATATAACCTAATATACAATAGATATATATACATTATCTTATATGATTAATATTCAAATTCATCAAGTTACTTTTTATTTTATCCTAGTAACTTTTTATGATATCTACAATTGACCGAAGATATCACTTTTAAACTTGTCAAAGATATAATCACTAAATTATAAAATTAATAAAAAAATAATCATTTTTACTGTATAATAAAGGCAGTGAAATTGGGGATCGAAAACGAATGTTAAAGTTAAAAAATAACGTTCATTACAATAATTTATCCGTATGACTGTACTGAAGCGAATGATCGCTTGTTTCTGATCTAATTAATTCTGAGATAAGTTATTTTATTTCGTCAATAACTTTTTATAAAATGTGAAGTTATTCGAAGATATCGATTATGTTTGTCACAGAAATAATCACTGAATTATAAAGAAATAATTATTAAATTATATTGCATAATCAATAAATTATAAGATTAATAAAAGAATGATTATTTTTATTTTAAATAAAAAAAAAAAGTAAAATTTATGATTTTTGTCAGTAACTTTTCATGAAAGTTGAAGTTGATTGAAGATGTATCACTTTTGGATTTGCCAAAGAAATAATTATTAGATTATATGATTAATAAAGAAATGATTATTTTTATCGTAAACAAAAATAATGAAATTGATGATCAGAAATGAATTTTAAAGATAGAAGAAAATAATGTTCATCTCGACAATGACGGTAGTTTATCCACGTGGCTATGTCGAAGGCAATGATCGATCGTTTCTAGCCTAGCTTTCGCCGAGTAGTCAGTTGATCCTGTGTTCGTCGGGGTATATGGAATCGCGGGGAAGGATTTATTGGACCGTGTGGATCTGCACGAAGATCTCTCGAAGAGGTGCTTTTGACGAACGATCGCGATTAATAATCAGTACTGTCGTGCGATCTCAACGAAGGGCGCTAACATCGTTAATACTATTTATCGCTCGTTATCCGTTACTCTTCTCTATATTCTATTCCAACCAAGGAATAAAATGAAGGAGGATAAAGAAAAATTTCTCTTCTCGACTATCTTACATAGGAAAAAAGGGATCGTAGTATTAATTTGGAATGAATTTATCTTTTTATCTATACGATGTTACGACTGGAAATATTTGAACATATTTTAAATCCTTCTTCTTTTTTTCTTCTCTTTTTTTTTTTTTTTTTTTTTTATTTGGAGAACTCGAATCTTTTAATTCTGATGTTTTCCGAATGTCTAGAATGTAATTTAAAAATATTGACTTGCTTAGTAAGTAATGTCGAAATTTTCAAGCATTTTATGTCGAAACTAATGAAGCTAATATATTATTATTTTCCGTAAAAAAATTCTTTAATTTTTTAGTGTTATATATAGTTTATTAATGTTGTATAGTATTTCTTAATATATTAATGAAATACTCTCTTTAATTTTGTGTATTATAGTACTTTCGTTTATATATAGTATTTCTTTGCATTAGTATTCATTGTTAGAAAAGTATTAATGTTTTTTTTTTTTTTATATAAATGTTATTTCGATTAATTGAAAAAAATTCAAGTAAATTAATAACAGAACTTTTCACTTAAATATTTTTTCCGTAAATTCACGATTGATTAGTTTTAATGTAAAAACCTTTGTCATACAAATTTGACGTTACATTCTTATGTTGAAAAAATTTACAATCTGTTTTTATTTTATCTTCAATCGTGATTTAATGTTATACCGTAGGTGATCGGAAAAGTATCGTAAATTTTTGTTTGTATATTCCGTTAAAATTTCTTAGGCGGAATTCTGTCACTATGAATTTAATCCTAAGTTTAACTAGTTAATCACATTTTTCAAATCGTTTAGATACACGTTACGATCTCATACGGATAGAAAGGGGAATCCCTCTTTCTAAGAAAGAGGGTGGGTAAAACAGAGGGAAAAGTGGTACGAGGAATACCTGAGTGGCAACCTACCTCCGATGTCTCGTTTACCATAATACAAGGACGGCCCGATGCCGAAGGTAGAACGCGTTACGAGTATTCAGTAGTGACTCGAAGAGGGAACTCGAAACGGTAGCAATGCGTCTTGAACAAGGGCAACGTGAAAAGCATCCAGTGCTGGTTGTCTCGTTGGATGGCTACGTGCTTCTAGGGAATTTCAAAGGTGGACACGTGATATATCCTGTCCAGGAGGCTCGACCATGTCCTTTCTCTCTTATTCTTTATTTCTTTTTTCTTGATTTTTTCTCTCTTTTTTTTTTTTATTTGTTTGTTTGTTTGTTTGTTTTTTTTTTTGGTAGATTGAAGTTATCTTACGAGACACCTCATGACTTTTACAAGACATCGATGACTGACCATACGCGATATTCGATTTTTCCACTAAAGGAACAAGTCCAAGTACGTAACAGGTGTATAGTTGAAACGGCACGTTGATTACATGTTACAGAACTTTAATTTCGTTAATTTTTTGAAGTAGATACTTTTAAACATATCTTGTAACTTTTACAAGATAGTGATGAATCAATTGTGTATGTACGTAATATTCAATTTTTCTATTTTTAAAAACAACTTCAAGTATAAAAAAACAAGTTCTATTTTTAAAAACAAGTTCAAGCTCAATAAACATCTGAAAAAGATGTTTATTTGTAATGGATTCGTACGTTAATTGTCATGTTATAGGACATACAATAAGACCTCTATTTTGTCAATTTTTTATTAATACAATTTTCGAAATGTTCAGTTTTATTATTTCTGTTATAAGTGATTTTGCAAATGTCTTATTTCCTTTTTATTAACAATTAAAACTACAGCTGTAAAATCGATTAAAATTATATCAAATTATAATTGACATTATTTTAAGTAAATTACATTAAATGTAAATAAAAATTAACATAAAATATTTAAATTCGAGTTACAAATTTTTTTTTTTATAGTATAGCACTTGATGAATTAATTCTCTCCCTCTCTCTCTCTCTCTCTCTCTCTCTCTCTCTCTCTCTTTCTCTCTCTTTCTTTCTTTCTCTCTCTTCCCTCCTTATTTCTTTATTTTCCTTACTTGAAGAAACTCAGCAGATAAATCAGCTCTTTTCAAAAAAGAAAAGGGATGAATAATATCTGTGTCAAAAAGCAATGACATTTCTGTTAGCAAGATTCTACGATGGATACTCCTTGACATTCTTCTCTTACCCATTTTCTTTTTCTTTCTTCTCTTTTTTTTTTTCACCTCAGATGCCTCTTCTTATATGAATCTTTCAACTAATGACGGTAATCGCTCGAGAAAAGTAATCGCGCTAGGGGCCGCAAGAAATTATAGAGAAACATCCTTGAGTTGATACGATAATTCGTGCTATCGTGCCTCGGATAAATTATCCGTAATTTTAAAAGGGAAAAGTTGATTTATCGTGATACCTATCTTTCCCTCTCTCACTCTCTCTCTATCTCTCTCTCTGTGTCTCTTTTTCTTAATCTATCTTTCGCACTCTTTTTCTATTTCTCTCTCTCTCTCTCTCTCTCTTTCTTACTTTATCTTCCTCATTCATTTTCTATTTCTTTCTCTCTCTCTCTCTCTCTCTCTCTTTCTCTCTCTCTGTTTTATCTTATTATCACGTAGAAAGAGAGAGAGAAAGAGAAAGAGAAAGAGTCAACGAACTTCTTAAGCTAAGAAATATGATTTTCTCTAATTTCTCCTCGGCACTTCTCGATTCGGTGAAAATACTACCAGAGACGATCGTTACCTCCCAACTCGTCTAATTTCCTTGACGACTCAGGAGAACCGTTTTCCTTCGTCAGCCGTCGGACGGATTGACGTCTCTATTAGCGAGCGTTTTCTCCTTGAAAATTTACGCGGTTTAAAGACACTCCAGAGAGAGAGAGAGAGAGAGAGAGAGAGAGAGAGAGAGAGAGAGAGAGAGAGAGAGAGAGAGAAAGAGAGAGAGAGAGAAAGAGAGAGAAAGAGAGTGTATGTATTTGACTATGTCTATGTGTATATGTACTACCTACTTACTTAACCTACTATATAGTAGGTACCTACTCTAAAATGATTCTTGCAGAAGAAAGACCTGGTAACGACCTTACACTTATCTCGGATTCGTGTTCCCGCTGCGTCATAGAAAAAACACACTTCAGAAGAACGTTCCGGTCCACACCGTGAAGATTCAGCTCGATCGACGCTCTCTCATGGTGACTCGTCGATGACGCGGAGGGCAAGGAGTGGAGAGAGAGGTAGGGACCCTCGATGACGGAAGAAGTCTCGCTCTCCTTCCTTCCTTCCTTCCTTCCTTTCTTTCTTTCTTTCTTTATTTCTTTCTTTCTTTCTTTCTTTCTTTCTTTCTTTCTTTTTTTCGTGTTATATTATTTTCTTTTTCTTTTTTTTTTCTGTTCATCTTCCGAAAGAAAAACGAAAGAAAGGAAGAAGGAAAGAAAAAAAAGAAAGAAATAAGAAGTTCCCTCTTTAAATGAGATTTTAAAGGGATCTAAAATTTCAACGAGCTTGCTGACGACGTCCTGCGTGAAGAATTTTTTTTTTTCTTTTCTTTTCTTTTTGTCCTCGCATCTGAGATTACTTTGGATTGCAATTGGATTGTAATTGGATTGTAATTTGGTTGGTATCATTGTATTATCACGTTGTGTTTGTGTCCTTGCTGTTGTTGCGAAGAATTTAAGCGTTAATCGTTTGTAAGAAGAAAAAGAAAAAGGAAAGAAGGAAAGAAAGAAAGAAAGGAAGAAGGAAAAAAGAATGAAGTGATGGTTGTTAAATAATTTGTCGTTTGTTTATTTATTTACAAATATTTTAGATTATTTATTTAACGCGAGAAATATTAAGCGATCGAATTGAGTCAATAAATAATAATTAAGTTAAGTGATATCGTATTTAAGAAAGCAAAATTTTATTTTATTTGACGTTTAAACGACATTAAATTTTTAATTTGATTGGCGACAAAAATTTACAAGTAATATCAAACATTTGATCACGATTACCGTATCCATTTATTTTCCTACTTTCTAATTAAAACAAAATGATTTCTTACTCTCCCTTTCATTTGTTCATATGGAATGATTAGAAATATTGATTAAATTATAAAAAAAAAAATCAGACGTTTAGTCATGATATATAATATCAATAAGAGATCAATTTGAGATAAGATAGTCGATGTAAAAGAAATTTCTGAAGAAATGAAATATTTTTGTGGAATCGTGTATATCTAATTGGTGCATCGTTCTTTTTTCTTCAGAAGAACGGATTCTTAATCCCTTTTTTCCTTTTTCTTACTTCAGAACGATTAGAAAATATGATTTGATTAGAAGAGAAAGAGAGAGAGAAGAACAAAAAAGAAGGGACAGGATTTTAGGGAGATTAAAAGAAATCAGATATTTATGAATGATTATGTGTTCTAATGAATCTTTTTCTTTCTTCTTTTTTTGTTCCTTTTTCTTTTTCTTTTCTCTTAAAAGAATAGAATCGCATAGCTCTTTAATAGCGATTAGGAAATTTGAAATAAGATGATACTCGATGTAAAAGAAATTTCTAAAGAAATGAAATATTTTTGTGGAATCGTATATCTAGTTGGTTACTTTGATCTCTCTCTCTCTCTCTCCCTCTATCTATCTATCTATCTATCTATCTATCTATCTGTCTATCTATCTATCTCTTTCTGAGCGATGGAAGAAGGATCTTACTCCTTCTCCAACATACTCTCTTCTCTTCTCTTTCTCTTCGTTCCTCTTTCCTCTTTACTCCTTCTACCACTCTTTCGGCCTCTTCTCCGTCCCTTACCGTTTCGAGTCTCCTGTCTTCGTTTAACTCGGCCGTGCGATCCGCACACGCCACTTCTTCTTCAGTGGCCGGCCGGTGGTACCACTCTCGGCTAGATCGCGCCAAGTACACCTCCTCTTGTTGCTTCACCACCACCAGTAACATCGGCATCACAAGACGAGCCTTCCTATCCTTACCGATAGTAGCGGCACTAGCCTCGGACACACCGTACTTCTTATACAAGTACTTACCATCTTCTCTCTACTCTTTGCCAAACCACTTACTTTTGCTATTCTTCCACTTTCATGTAATAGCTGTAAGTCCTTCTATCCACTCCTACATCTATTTCCTAAGGCACTACCAACCATGCCAAAGGCGAAAGTAGTTACTTCATGTGTGTTTAACGTTCGAACTTGAGTGACAGAACAGTGTTAAAACTTGTGCTGTTTTTCCTTAAGGATAAACTCCGAAGATGACTGGAGAACTCACTGATAAACTACGTAGGATCAAACGTATATTACTTCTTTGGTATTATCTTGTATTAAAAATATACTCGTAGTAGTGATTTATGTGAGAATGTTGATTGAATATTGTGCTTGTTAAAGAAAGTCGGTATCTCTTCATAGTTATATACCTATATATATATGTGTGTGTATGTGTGTGTGTGTGTGTGTGTGTGCCTGTGCATGTATGTATGTATGTATGTATGTATGTATACATATATATCTTCTTAAGAAGAAACTATTCATAGAAGTTGATGGAAGATTCTTTAAACAGCTGACCGAAGGATGGGACTTAAGTTTGATCAATTTGAAAGGATCGAATTCAACATGTTTATGGTTTATATCTTTCTAAGAATCCAATCATAGCAAAGATCGATAAGAGATGATTGAACGCAGCTGACTAAGACGTTATTAGTTTGAAGGAAAATTGATTAAAAAGAAAACAAAAACAATAATAATAACAATAATAATAACTAATAATAATAATAACAATAATAATAATAATAATAATAATAATAATAATAATAATAATAATAATAATAATAATAATAATAATAAAAAGAAGAAAGAAAGAAGGAAGGAAAAAAAGAAGAAAAGTAAAAGAAAAAAGAAAAATTGATAAAAAAAAAAAAGAATAAATTATTTCTCTTGAAGAATAGTTAACCGAGTGAACGGTTGATTGAATGAAGTGTGATAGTGTCTCAGTGTTTTCACTTCTTCGAAGTGAGTGACAATCGAAGGAACGATCGATCGATCTCTTCGATCGATAACAGAAACCTCGCACGTGTTCTCGAGAAAGAGAGAGAGAGAGAGAGTGTCGTGCGACTACAGCGAAGAGAACACGTGGAAGTCGAACACAGTCTTAGTTAACGATCGAAAACTCATTCGAAGACTTTTATCCCCGGAACTTTTCTTAGTCACGCGAGAGGCTAACCTACGTTCATGTAGATTTTAATAATCGTTTTTCTTTGTTTTTCCTTTTGTTTCTTTTTTTCCTAAACTTTGGACAGAATCGTATCGTTTGATTTTCGTTCTTATAAATTATTTTCTTCTCGCACAATTTTTCTTTCATTCATTAGAATATTCGGATCTTTATGAGTGACTCTTCCTCTTTCATCTAATCCTTTTTAATTTTATTTTACTTCTAATTAATTCTATTTCTTTGTCGAAATAATTCTATTTCGTTCTATCGAGCTTTTTTCATTCTGATTTTCTTTTTAATTTAATGTTTTCTTTTTATTCATTCTTTAATTTTAATTTAATTTTTATAAATTTCTATTTTTTTTTTTTTTTTTTACTTATCTTGTTTTCTATCTTTCTCGATCCTTTGTTTTAATTTTTTTATTTCTATTAATACTTTAATTTTAATTTAATTTTTATAATTTTTCAAGTATTTTGTTATAATTATCTTGTTCTCTACGTTTTTTTCATCCTTTGTTTTAATTGATCATCGATTATTTTCTTATCCTTCAAATCATTTTTTTTTAATCCTTCGTTTCAATATTTTTCTAATTGGATTTTTCAAAAATTTTTCGTTCTAATTTTGTTCTTATTGATCATACGAATCCGTCATTGTAATTTTGTTTTAATTTTTTCGAATCTTTCATTTCGATTGTTCTTCAATTGTATTTTGTCCTGCCTAATAATTTTTAATCGTTTGTTTAAATATTCTTCTAATCGTTCCTTTTTTTCATTTCTAATTTTTCACTTTTATTTTTCTCTAACCATTTTCTCATTCAATTTTTTCTCCAACTGTTTCGCGTCTTTCTTATCGTTTATAATCCTTTATTCTAATATTAATCCAATCGTTTACTTAAATTATTCGTTTCAAAATTTGTCGTTTCAATAATTCCTTTTAATATGTTCTTCTAATCTCTTTAGAATTGTATTTTCCAATCTTTGACAATAATTTTTCTCCTAGATAGTTTCTTTGGTCTCACAAAACATTGTCCTTCGAGTCATTAATTCGAACAAATTTCTAGTTATTCGTTCTTTTCTTCTAATCTTGTCTAATATTATTCGTCTCTTCGTTGAGCAAAGGAAAAAAGTCAAAATAATTTCTCGAACGAATTAAATTTTTTAATACATCTACTTCATCTCCTATGTGAAAGATAAGAACTCCTTAAAAACAAAAACAAAAAATAGAATAAAAAAAGAAAAGAAAAGAAAAAAAAAGAACGCAGAAAAAAAAATATTCGAACTTATCAGTGCTCAAAGGTCAAATAGGAAACACAGTAGTGGACGACGATTTTATCGGCGTTTCGAAGGATCGGAGACTCGTGTTCGGCACGTGTCGCATCCTGGGAGGTTCCTTTCCTTTTCAGTCTCTCTCTCTCTCTCTCTCTCTCTCTCCCTCTCTCTGGCTGTCTTTTTCTCTCACACCTCGTACACTTTTCGACGTTGCATTTGTCAACGACCGATCGCCTGGCGTGCATTCGCACTGAATTAATGCCACTTCTTTCTTTCGCCTCTGTCATCTTCGATTCGCCACGCGTGCTTTTCTTCGCGGCGTGCGGCTGATGATGGCGCGAACGGTGATGGATTAACGCACAGCGAATCGCCAAGAAAAAGTTTTCTTCCCCTCCTGCTCTTTCTCACTCACTCCCTCTCTCTCTCTCTCTCTCTCTCTCTCTCTATCTGTCTGTTTCTCTCTTTCTCTCTCTCTCTCTCTCTTTCTCTATCTGCCTGTCTGTTCCTCACCCTCTCTCTTTCTCATTCTTACTATAACACTTTTGTTCAGGTGAACGAGCAAGCAAGTTCGACAATCTCTTCTTCTGACCACCCTCTTTTTTTTATTTATTTATTTTTATATTATAATTATTATTATTATCATCTTCGTCATCGTCATTATTATTATTATTATTATTATTATTATTATTATTTTTATTATTATTTTATTATTATTATTATTATTGTTGTTGTTATTGTTATTAATATTATTATTATTATTATTATTATTATTATTATTATTATTATTATAATTATTATTAAACGTCATGAAAATTGGAAGAACAGGAAAGTGAGTGATATATTTTTTTTGTTTCTTTTTTATTTTGCTTTTGTTTATTATTACTATTTTTTTTTTTTTATTTTTCTTCAATCAATAATTCTTCTCTGTGACCCACGATGAACCGAGATGAGTTATCATTTTGGATATCGTACTTGGGATCATTTTTGTTTATCTTCGTGAAAACAGATCGATGCAATATAATCTATCGTAAGATTTTACCCTGTTATTTTAGTGCTTGTAAAAAGTGAAATCAAAAATTGGTGTTGTTCGATAGTGATCGCCGTCGGTGGTGTCGCTCCGGAAGGATTCCCGGAGATAAGCATGGAGATATGAAAAATACGTGAGTACATCCCCAGTGTTATCTATCCTATAGATCTTACAGGCCTTAGATACCATAGAAGTAACGAGCTAGAACGAAAGTCTAGATCGTTTTCTTTACTCGGATCATTGACTTAACGAAATTTCGACTAAAATTCTTTAGATCAAAAAAATCGATCTACTTTTCAGATAGTTTGTGGTTATATCGTTCGTGCGACATTTCCAGATAGAGATTAGATTGAATCGCGGTAAATAAGAATGATATGTTTACGAATGTTCTTTTTTTTAAATTATTTTCTATCAAATTAGACAACGATGTTTAAACATAACAACACTAGTATACAATTAAAATGATATAAGATTGAAAATTGATAAAAAAAGATATTTCAGACGAAAGTTACTTGTTCTTTTTTTTCTTTTTAAGTTAGAATACGTTGCCATTATAAAAGATATAGATGAAAAAAAGGAAGAAAGAACGAGGTTTGAAATTGACCTTGAAACATTCCATTAAATAAAAAACAATTAACGCCGTAACATTTATATCATGAAATCATATTACATTTGTCTGTAAAATTTTTCTTTAAACGTATAAGTTCATTTAAGAAATAAGTTCGCAATGTTTTATTCCGTACACCCAGTATATTAATTGTATCGTATCATATCGTATATATCAATGAATTACAGTACTATAACAATTAAACAAGTCTTCTTAATAAGACGATCTATAGTATACTATTATACTATATTAGTGCTGTTTGCTTACAATAATATTAAATTATATTGGTATTATTAAAAGATGGTGTATTTAAATATAACATATATATAATCCAACATTAATCAATTTAATAGATAAATTGATTAATAAAATAAATTCAATCCTGATTGCATAGGTCATAAAGAATCTAATAGGATCGCTAATGGTTAATAAACAATATAAAAGTTAAAACCTAATTAATAATAATATATCTAATCTTTCTAATAATAGCAATGTATTTCTAATATATATAAAATAATTATTTGAGAAAAAAAATGATTAATTACAAAAAATTACACGTTTACAATCTAATTCAATTGAATTTTTAAATATAAGAGAAAGAGAAAGAGAAAGAGTGAGGAGGGGGGGAGGGGGAGGTGGGAAAAAGAGAAGAGAAATAAAATATAATTAATTCATACGAATTAATAATAGAATATAACCATAATACAATAAATAAAAATAAAAAAATAAACAAATACTACAAACAAAAGGAAAATACAGAGATTTAAATTCCTTGAATGATGAGAAGTATAAATGAGAAAATAGAAAAATATAAAGGATGTGGGAGTGACCGGTGAAATTTCTTCTTTGATTTGCATAAAACGAGTGTTCGATTTGATCGAGACTTTAATTCGAAAATTATACGTTTAATCGGCAGGCGGATACAGCCCATATATATATATATATATATATATATATATTTATATATATATATTTATATATATATATTTATATATATATATAATAATAATAATTTTTATGTATATACATTATATAAATTATACTTATACATATATGAACTATATATATATGTCATATGTATATATAGAATTTCTACCTTTACCGTTCCCAGCCACAGCCAGTAAATATTCATTAGATGTACTCTCTGCACCCTGCCTTTCTCTCCATCTTTCATTTGCATATCACAATCAACGTCATATCATTGTCGAGTGAGCCGAGTGCATGGCTCGATTCCAGCCGAGTACGATCTCCGATCGATTCTCTATGAAAACAAAGGACATTGCATTGCTCGCGATTAATCGAACAGAGAATAGCTTACTTTCGATCGGAAATTTATTGAATTGGCTAATGTTTGAATTGTCAATATTTTATATTTAAATCTATGTATTTATTATCTGAACGAAAGTAATATAATTTAATACAGATGTAAGTCAACAACATTTTAGTATAATATAATGCGATACCAAATAAATGTCAATAATATAGTATAGTATTATATAATAATAGTATAGTATAGTATAATGATCTAATATATATATATAATATATAGTATAATGATCTAATAATAGATAGTATGGTATAATAGTATATAGATATTATAATAAGTAAACAATAATATTTGTTTGGCTAATAAATAATGTAGAAATTTGTAATATAAAATAATAGTATTGTTTATTGGCTCAGCATAGTCATGATTTATAATATTTTTTAACATAGATATACCTCGCCTAATGTCGTCGTTTCTGTAAAGTTTTTCTATATGATAAATTGTATATACAAAATTTTTTTTTTTAAAATATATCTATATATTTCGAAATGTTATTCTGTCATGGAAATGAAAAACGTATGAATTAGATCATTTTTATAATTACAAAAATCATTTATGTCATTTTACATAATTTTAATTTAATCAATTAAAAAAAGAATTATTATTCTAATCATTTAAACAATAATTATATGATTTACAATTATATCATTCTTATGATTAACAATCATCTTGAATTAATTATTTATATCAATTTAAATTAATCTAATTAAAATCTAATTTTTTTTAGAAAGACAGATATATACAATTTATCATAATTAACACTTATATTTAATTGATCATTTATATCATTTTAAAAAATTATTTCAATTAAAATCTAATTTTTTTAAATGTCAAATATATGACTTAGATCATTTTCATAATTACCATTTACATTTAATTAATCATTTATATCACATGAAAAATTATTAGATTAAAATCATTCATTATAATCAAATACTCTAAAAAGACAAATATACGACTTACAATTAAATTACTTTCATAATTAGCATTCATAAGTAATTAATCATTTGTATCGTTTTAAAAATCATTCTGATTAAAATCTGATTATTTTGAATGAGAAATATATCTATACTACTTAGATCATTTTCATAATTGTCATATACATTTAATTAATCATTAGTATCGTTTTACAAAATCATTTTGATTAAAATCTGATTCTCTCGAAAGAAGAAAAGTTAACTGAGTTATATCATTACTCTAATCAATCGAGACGTTATCATTATGTTAATGTTTCTTCTTTATTTTCTTTTCTTTTTCTTCTTTTCTCTTTTTGTAATTCTTTAGAAAGAAGAAGAAGAAGAAGAAGAAGAAGAAGAAGAGAAGAAGAAGAAGAAGAAGAAGAAGAAGAAGAAGAAGAAGAAGAAGAAGAAGAAGAAGAAGAAGAAGAAGAAGAAGAAGAAGAAGAAGAAGAAGAAGAAGAAGAAGAAGAAGAAGAAGAAGAAGAAGAAGAAGAAGAAGAAGAAGAAGAAGAAGAAGAAGAAGAAGAAGAAGAAGAAGAAGAAGAAAGAAGAAGAAGAAGAAGAAGAAGAAGAAGAAGAAGAAGAAGAAGAAGAAGAAGAAGAAGAAGAAGAAGAAGAAGAAGAAGAAGAAAGAAGAAGAAGAAGAAGAAGAAGAAGAAGAAGAAGAAGAAGAAGAAGAAGAAGAAGAAGAAGAAGAAGAAGAAGAAGAAGAAGGAAGAAGAAGAAGAAGAAGAAGAAGAAGAAGAAGAAGAAGAAGAAGAAGAAGAAGAAGAAGAAGAAGAAGAAGAAGAAGAAGAAGAAGAAGAAGAAGAAGAAGAAGAAGAAGAAGAAGAAGAAGAAGAAGAAGAAGAAGAAGAAGAAGAAGAAGAAGAAGAAGAAGAAGAAGAAGAAGAAGAAGAAGAAGAAGAAGAAGAAGAAAGAAGAAGAAGAAGAAGAAGAAGAAGAAGAAGAAAGAAGAAGAAGAAGAAGAAGAAGAAGAAGAAGAAGAAGAAGAAGAAGAAGAAGAAGAAGAAGAAGAGAAGAAGAAGAAGAAGAGAGAAGAAGAAGAAGAAGAAGAAGAAGAAGAAAAGAAGAAGAAGAAGAAGAAGAAGAAGAAGAAGAAGAAGAAGAAGAAGAAGAAGAAGAAGAAGAAGAAGAAGAAGAAGAAGAAACCTGTTTTGTTTTCGAATTCAACGACCGAGAATGCCCCGTTAATTTACTCCAAGAAAAGAAGAAGGAGAAATGTGAGAGATTTGTAAAGCAGTGCGACGATGGAACTTCTCTCTCTCTATCTCAGAAAACTACTAAGCAGTATTTTCTATTCGATTTGTTTTTCTTCTTTCTTCACTGTTTTTTTTATTCTTCTTTCCTAAAACGATCGGTTATCGAAGAAGATACCTACTCGACGTCCTTTCAAGGACCAGAAAGGCAATTCTCGATAGAAGACATCTTTCAATGGCCAATTTTTTTTTATACATTTAAAAAAATTTTTTTTTCAAATCAGTACTCCTTTCCAGTTTTGTTATCTCTCTGTCTGTCTGTTTCTCTCTCTCTCTCTCTCTCTCTTTCCCTCTCTCCTTCCTTCTTCATTCATATATATTCCTCTTTTTCTCTTAAGCGATTAAGCGATTAATCAAAGACGAGAATCGCGTTCAATTACTCGGCATCGAGCACCTACTCTCTCTCTCTCTCTCTCTCTCTCTCTCTCTCTCTCTCTCTCTCTTTCTCTCTCTCTCTCTATCTATCTCTCTTTCTCTATCTTTCTCGCACATACATACACAGTGGCTCAGAAGCGAAAGAGAGAGATTAGAGTCAAGCTCCAATTAATTATCACGCTCGTATCGCTGTTTTTATTCGTTCGTGGCGTCTCGTCTCGACGAGACGAGATGTCGTCTTCGTCTTCGTCGTCGTCGTCGTCATTGTCGTCGTCGTTGTCGTCGTCGTAGTTGTCGTCGTCGTCGTCAGAGAAACGGTTCTCTTCACTGCTCATAACTACTCTTGCTTGCATAACCAGAAAGAAAGAGAGAGAGAGAGAGAGAGAGAGAGAGAGAGAGAGAGAAAGAGAAAAAGAGATAGATACAGAAAGAAAGAGCGAGAAAGAGACAGAGAAAAAGAGATAGATACAGAAAGAAAGAGCGAGAAAGAGACAGAGAAAAACACGCAGAGACAGAGATAGATATATATTGATAGACGGACAGTTAGAGAAAGAGAAAAAGAGATAGATAAATAAATTATTGATATACCTATCTACCGGGTGAAAT